AAGAAGTTGGTGCGGCTGCCTGCCTGAAGAAGAATTAGGGAAGAAGAAGTAGAAGAAGGAAAAAAAATATTAGGAGGAAGAATAATAAAGGAAAAAATTAGGGAAAAAATACCTGGTGCGTGCGGCTGCGGGTGAAGAAGAATTGAGAAAGGAAATTGGGGAAAAGAAATAAGATAAAGAATCTGGTGTGACTACGGGGGTGTGAAGAAAAATTGGGGAATGAGAATAAGGAACTTAAACAATTAAGACCCAGAAGAAAGAAAAATATTTTCCACAAATTGACTGACTGGAAAACAACTCCAGCCCATTCCGGCGACCGACAGCGGTGGCGATTCTCAGCAGCTTCCTTCCTCGGCAAAAAGATAACGGGTTAATACGATTTTTTCACAGATCTTCTGAAAGAAAATTACAGAAAAATAAGAAGAGAAAGGAAGAAGGAAAAGATGGGAGTGGGCGTGTGGGAGAAAAGGGAAGAAAAAAAGTAGGAGAGAGAAAAGGGTATAACGGTCCATTATGATAGAATTTAACGTCTGTTAGTAGAATTTAGGGGGGAAGGACGAGTGTGCAACGTTTTACAAACCACAAGTAGGTTTTTTGAAGTTTTAAAACCAGAGAGGGTTTTCAGCAACTTTGTGAAACCACAAGGGGATTTTATGCTATTTTGCCATTTAAATTTCACTGATCTTGGTATTTGTGTGGATTGTATAAAAGGAAAATAAACAAAACACACAAAGAAATGAGCCACAAGAAGCACACAACTTCTTGAAATAATACACATTGATATTTGCGGACCATTTGATGTTTTCTCTTTTGGAAAAGAACAATATTTCATCACCTTCATTGATGAATTTTCACGTTATGGTTATGTCTATCTATTACATGAAAATTTTAATCAGTAGACGCTCTAGAAGTGTTCATTAATGAGGTTGAAAGACAACTAGACAGAAAAGTGAAAATCATCAGATCTGATAGAGGTGGTGAATATTATGAAAAATATAATGAATCGGATCAATGCCCGGGTCTGTTTGCCAAATTTCTTGAAAAACGTAGTATATGTGCTCAATACACTATACCAAGTACACCACAACAAAATGGTGTAGCTGAAAGGTGTAATCGTACACTCTTGGATATAGTTAAGGGTATGCTCAATAATTCTTCACTGCCTATACCATTGTGGATGCATGCACTTAAAACTGCCATGTACTTATTGAATAGGATTCTTAGTAAACCAGTTCCTAAAACTCCTTTCGAGTTGTGGACTGACAGGAAACCCAGTTTAAAGCACCTGCATGTTTGGGGTTGCCCGGCAGAAATAAAAGCTTATAATCCACATGAAAGAAAGTTAGACTCAATGACGATCAGTGGTTTCTTCATTGGTTATCCCGACAAGTCTAAAGGGTATAAGTTTTATTGTCTTAATCATAGTACAAGAACTATTGAAGCTGAAAATGCAAAGTTCATTGAGAATGGTGAAGTTAGTGGGAGTCAAGAACCTCGAAAGGTTGACATTCAAGAAGTTAGGGTGCACATTCATGAACCACTAACTCCTAATAATGTTGTTGTCCTTCATGTTGTTGAACCTTTTGACACTAGACATGAACAACAAATTAACAAACAATTGACCCACAATAAAGATAATAAACTTGTAGTAGATGAACTATGTGAAATAGTATTGCGAAGGTCTGAAAGACAAAGACGCCCTACTATTTCCAATGATTATATGGTATACCTACAACAGTCTGAATGTGATGTAGGACTCACTGACAATCCAACTTTATTTTCACAAGCCATGGAAAGTGATAGTTCTAATAAGTGGTTAGATTCCATAATGATGAGTTAAAATCTATAAAAGTAGTGATGTTTGAGATCTTGTCGAGTTGCCTGAAGGTTGTAAACGAGTCGGGTGTAGATGGGTCTTCAAGACCAAACGTGACTCAAATGGCAACATCGAAAGGTAGAAGGCCAGACTAGTAGCCAAGGGTTTTACTCAAGAAAAATGGTGTTGATTATAAGGAGACATTTTCGCCAGTCTCTAAGAAAGATTTGTTTAGAATTATCATGACTTTGGTGGCTCATTATGATTTAGAGTTACACCAAATGGATGTGAAAACAACCTTTTTAAATGGAAATTTGGATGAGAAAGTTTATATGGAGTAACCTAAAGGCTTCTCCATTACAGGAAAGGAAAATATGGTGTGCAAACTTAAGAAATCAATATACGGGCTTAAACAAGCTTCTCGACAATGGTAGCTTATGTTTCATGATACCATAACTTCTTTTGGATTTAATGAAAACACCGTCGATAGATGTGTGTATCTGAAATTTAGTGAGAGTTAGTTTATTTTTCTGATCTTGTATGTTGACGATATCTTACTTGCAACGAATGATCTTGGTGTATTATGTGATACCGAGAAATTTCTCTCTAAAAACTTTGAAATAAAAGATGCGGGTGAGGCATCATATGTGATTGGAATAGAAATGTTTTGTGATAGATGATCACAAGGATTGTTAGGATTGTCTCAAAAGACATATATCAACAAAGTTTGGAAAGATTCTAAATGGAAAAATATTCTTCTAGCATCGTTCCAATTCAGAAATGGAACAAATTCAGTCTCACGCAATATCCACTTAACGAATTGGAACGCAAGCAAATTACTAGAATTCCTTATGCATCAATTGTGCGAAGTCTCATGTATGCACAAACTTGTACGAGGCCAGACATCAGCTTTATTGTTGGAATGCTTGGTCGATACCAAAACAATCTAGGATTAGATCAATGAAAAACCGCAAAGAAAGTGTTGAGATACCTGCAAGGGACAAAAGACCACATACTTACATACAAGATGTCTGATTGTCTAAAGGTGATTGGTTATTCAGATTCGGATTATGCCGGATGTGTTGATACCAGAAAATCCACTTTTGGATATTTGTTCTTATTAGCCGGATGAGCAATATCATGGAAAAATGCGAAGCAATCTGTCATAGCTACATCCATTATGGAAGCTGAATTTGTGGCGTACTTCGAGGCCACAATTCAAGAAAATTGGCTGATGAACTTTATTTCGGGGCTTGAAATAGTTGACAATATTGCCAAGCCGCTAAAAATTTATTGTAATAATTCCGCAGCAGTCTTCGAACGACGCAAGTACTCAAAGGCGCAAAACATATGGATCTAAAGTACCTTGCCGTTAAAGAGAGGTTCAAAAACAAAAGATATCAATTGAGCATATTAGCACAAATCTTATGATGGCGGATCCGTTAACTAAAGGATTGCTTCCAAAGACATTTATTTCACATGTTGAAAAAATGAGCATTATATATGTAATTTGATGAACATCATGTTTATGTATTTGACATCTCGAGCTCCCTTATGTATTGTTTCTGAAATTGAATATTTTCTTATTCATTTATTTGTGCACATGATTATTTGAACAAGATGTAGTCTATCTTAGACATTAAAGTTGACAATTATTGACGTTTCCAATTATGAATGAATTAAGTAGCAAATTAGTACGTGGTACATGGGAGGAACTATGTCGATTTAATAACATAGAACCGTCGTAACTCATATTAGTATACACTTAATGAACGATACTAGACTTATACCAATAAAATTTATTATTTTATTTAAATCATGAAGGCATGTTTTGTCACTCGGCCAAATGGGAGAATGTAAAATGTGACCTCGTGTCACTTATTAATTAATGATTTAAATATAATAAAAATAATAATAAATTTAATAGTATTATTATTATTATTAAATCTATTATTAAATCTATTATTAAATTTATTATTATTAAGTGGTATTTGGTTTAGTCAAATTAAAAGCGTTTTAAAATCACATTATCATTATCCCACGTTGATAGAACGTGGGATTATGATTTTTTCACTTTAGGATTTTGGTTTTCCCTCTGCTTATAAAATGTCAGAATAAATTCATTTTATCACTTAAGAAAATCAACTTACGTGTTCTGGCATTAAGGTTAAGAGGGAGAAACCAAAATATTCAACTTATTGTCCTAGCCAGAGGATCGTTCTGCTTATATGAATGAGTTCCAACCAAGGTTAGTAACATATACATATTTAATCGATTTTGTGAGAATCACAAAGTTCAAGATTCTGTGAATAATTTGATTTGTATTTAATATTAATAATACAGTAAACTATTAAAATCTCTTAGTCTCAACTTAAAATATTATTTTATCAATTTTTGTTTGTCCCACTCAAAATAAATAAAATTTTTACTTAAACAATAATGTCATTACTTCCGTCCACAACCAATTTACCTATTTTTTTTATATATTAATTTTTTAATATTAATTATTATATCAAAATATCTACTGAAAAATAACAAAAAATACTTGTACTAATCTCTTATAATACTAATATAATAATATTTGTACAAAAAATTATACAAATAAAAATATATTTTTAATAAATTGACAGTGAATAGATGTAATATTATTTTTTAATTTATTACAAAAATCTAAATTAATACATTAGAATAGAACAGATGGAGAATTATATTAAGTCTTATATATTTATATTATATTAATAAGAATTTTATTATACTATAATTCATCCGTTAATTTACTATCGTTCATCCATATTTGAGATCTGTCAGCATTTGTGAATAAATTTTACGAAGCATAATAATATAAGCAGCCAAAGATAATATATAAAGTACACATTTGGAGAAATATCAAGCACCACCAAACATTCCCCCATCCGTACTAAATAATTTGTCCTTATTTTCTATTTTCATCCGTCCTACATAATTTGTCATTTTTTTTTTTTGAAAATTTGATTATCCATTTAATTACATTTTAAATTTTATGATTTTGTTAATCTTAATTAAACTATTTATTTCTCTTAATCTTAATTTATAATTATTTTTACTAAATAATAATTATTTTTATTAATACACTTCTTAAATACTTATTAATTATAATTTACCTAAATTCTCGTATATAAAGTAATATAGTAATATGTCCAAAATATATGAGACAGAGGGAGTAGATAAAAAAATAAAATTAAACAAACAAACATCTTTACACGAAAAAATCAAAAGAACTTATTCAGCCATTGACATGATTCGATTCGATTAAATCTCCTAAAAACCACAAACATTGTATGTATTGTACGGCACAACCTATGCAGCTACGAAAACCTCAAACCAAATCAAATGAATAATAATAATAATAAATGTTTCAAATCGATCAATTATTTAATTAACTAACTCGCCAACGCCGCCGTGAAGGAGGCGCCGCCGCCGCCGGATCTCATCATTTGCTTGAACTCCGAAAAGCTGACCATCCCGTCGCCGTCGGAGTCCACCTTCTTGATCATCATCCGGCAGTCGGTCTCGGCCCCCCCGGCGAGCCCCAGCGACCCCAGCACCGCCTGCAGCTCGTCGACAGTGATGAACCCGTCGCCGTTCTGGTCGAACACATTGAACGCCTCCAACATATCCCTATCGTCGTCGCCGTCGCCGCCGCCGTCGCCGCCGTCCATGATGCTCTTGTACAGCGCCTCGAACTCGCCGGCGTCGACGCAGCCGTCGCCGTCGGCGTCGATTCTGTCGATCATCTGCCTCAGCTCCACATCGGCGATGAAAATCCCCATCTTCTCCAGCGAATCGCTGAGCTCTTGTAAAGTGATCCTCCCGTCGCCGTTCTGGTCCAGCAACCCGAACACCCGCCTCAGCTCCGCCGCGTCCATTTTTTCCGGCAACCCGACGACGGCGGCGATTGGGGGTTCGGCGTTGGTGTAATAATTAGGGCACAGCCAAGAAGGGAGGAGAAAGGCCCTCAGCTTCTTGGGAACGAAGCAGACGAGAATGGCGTTGTAGGCAATCAGAATCCTAGGCAGGATGAAGGATAAGGACATGGCGGCGGCGGGTCTGTATTTTAATGGCGTTTCTGCGGCGGCGAGGAAACGGCGGAGCCCAACGGTCGGGAAGAAGAGAAGGGGGGTGTGTGGCGCTACGCGTTTTTTGGGGTTTCTATAATAAGTGTGTTGGGAGAAAGCGCGTTGTCATAAATGCGCGTTTAGTTTAATTAAATTATTACTGGGGCGGGGCCCGAAAACACGATTTTAGTAAAGCGAGTTGGTGGAGGGGGCCGTATGGTGACCGTTGATTAACGGATCTAAAAGTAGATGGATGGATGGAAGGAAGGAAGGCCGGCCGAGCCGAAACGGACCGATGCTGGGATTGTGACACGTGGAGCCTACGAATTGGTTGCTGTATTTTTATACACAATGTTTGATTTAAAAATTGGCGGAGTGTTTGGAGTGGAATTGGTAAGAAGTCATTTTTATTTTGGAGGGGCAGTTGAAGCATCTTCACTGTCTGTGAATTAAGCGACAATTATTGGGGGTTCGTTTTAATTGTCTTTTAATTTGTATACATACGTACACTTTTAATTTGGAATATTAAATATTCGGATATCATGTCTATTTTACTGTATACACTAGAAATGATGAATGATATAATTAGTAAATAATTAAAAATATATCAATCAAAATAATTATCGTATGATAAAAATAATTATAAATTAAGATAATTAATTAATCTAGTTACAAAAATTGTAAATTAAAATTTTTAAAATAAAATTGAAATATATAATTTTTTTTTAAGAAAAAAGAGACAAAATAAGTAGACAGATGAAAATGGAAAGATGTACTATATGATAAGTGAGACGAAGAGAATATTTTTTATATTGAGTCTTTTTATCTAATTAATTTTTGTTTGATGTGATTTTCAATATGTATAATATTTATATTTCATTTTCTTACAAAAGTTAGCAATTTAATTTAAAATATTATGTTTTATATTACTGATGTAATTCTCTGTAGCTCTTATATAAAATATATTTTAAAAATAAACAATTGAACAAACAATCATATTCATATTCAAAACATATGGAACAAGTTCGGCGATGGATGAACCAATGGTGCGGAGGTAAGACTTATCACCGTGAGGTGATGGGTTCTGTCACGGTTCGTGTAATGTGACTTGTTTTATTTGACCTAGTTTTGCAGGATAATGTTATAAAAGTATTGTGGGTGTATTCTTTCATCACTAAAATATATATATTCAAAAAAAATTAATATATTAAAATATATTATTTTTATATAACTTACACAATTTTCTATATTTACACAGAAAATATATATATATGTTTTTTCAAACAATTTCACTAAACAAAAATTTCCTTCCTCTCTACCATATAATGTTGTATTAGATTAAAAATTCATTAAACTTATTAAATTTTTTATTCACATTATAAAATCAAATTTCACATTTTCGAATTTCTCTTTCATTTACAGTAACAAATTTATTATTTTATTTTCTAAAAAATCTCTATTAAATTAATTTTTTTTTTCTAATACTATAAAATTATAATCCAAATTTATTATATATAAAATTTTAATTCATTAATATATTCATTATTATGTATAATACAAATATTATATAATACTCCTTCCGTCCCATATTGGAAGTCTGCATTATCGTAAATAAGAAAATTTAGAATAAATGTAATTAGTAAAGAATTAAAAATATACTAGTCAAAATAATTATCATATAATATAAATAATTATAAATTAAAATTAAGGTAATTAATTAATTTAATTAAAATTAAAAGAAATTAAATTAAAAATTAAAAATAAAATTAAATGTATAATTATTTTCCAAAAAATAAAAGTCACATAATATGTGATGATGTGAGACGGACAGATATGTTGGACGGAGAGAATAAATTTTTAATTTTAATATTTACAAAATTTTACATAAAATTTATAATTATTTAATTATAATTTATATTGAATATTTAAGAAATTATGTTTTTTTTTAATTATTATTAAATATAGTTAAATTATTATATAAACTTTCTCTCTCCTAAGTGGAGTAGAGAAAAAGATGTTGAAACTATTGTTTCCGGTCCACTGCAAGAACAATTATTGGGTATGTTTCTTCAGGGATTTTTGGGAAATTTGAGTTTTGGGTTTGATTTTTATTTGAATTTTGGGATGAATTTAAATTTTGATTTTTTTCTTGTGTTTAGGTTTGGTTGGGGTTTGAGGAATTTTGATGTGTATTAATTTGATGGATAATGAATAAAATATTATAAATGTGTATTAAAATTCAATTGATAAAATTTATATTATATGATTTGATTATGAATTTATATTATACCCAACATATATATATTTAGATTTTTATTTATTTGTATTATAGAAAATTTTATTCTCTACAAAATGATATATATATATATTGTATATATATTTTTACCTATAATTATTATAAATATTAAATAATAAATGAATTGGCTGAGAAGGAACCCACAAAATCAAAAAGAAAAAAATTAATAATAAATAATTTTTTTTAAAAAAAGAGTATTCACAAGCCTAGAAAAATAAGCTGTCAGACATTGTCTTCTAGGGGTGGATTCGCGGCACAGTAGTATAACAATTAAAATCTCCAAACCCCTGCAAAAGAAACAGACCATAGTCCAATTTCTTTTTGCTTTTTTTTTTTTTTTTTTTTTTTAAATTGAGTTCCCAATGCGAAAGAATCAAGCATTGTCTTCCTTTAGTTCTCAATAATATGCTGTCCCATGTGTGCGAGTTTTTATTTTATACGACTGATTGATGGCGTATGTTTTAGTGCAGCTATGTATTTTGTATACTCCTTTCATACTTTATGGTATATTCAGGGCGTCTTGCGTTCAAAAAACGACTGATCTGGGCTTAGGATAGACTTTTGTCAGCTTCCGTTCCGTTACAATTGTGCATGCTATGGGTGTGTCTTTTCTTTCTTTTTTTTTTTTTTTTTTTTTTTAACTATATGTTTTTTAAAAAAAATTCTGTTTTTTTTAGTTAATTATGTTATTTTGTTTAGATAAAAAATTAAAAGTAATAATTTTTTTTTTTTTTTGAAATTTTGCTTGACTCATGACCTGAAATTCGTACCAAATTCACAATCCAAATTCATCAATCTGATTTTGACTCAAGACTCGAACCATAATGAAATAAAACCCCACTCACCCAAGTTGATTCATTTCAGTACGTGCAATTTCTTTTCTTTGCTTGTGATCATGGTTTGTCGAATCGGCCGACTCAGCCGATCAGGCACCGGAATAGCCGGTACAAAGAAAAAATCTAATTTTTTTCTACAAATTTTTCCAATTCACAAATCTTATCTAACACAGCACATATGTTTGAAAATCACTCAATTTTTTCATTCCTACCATGTTTGTCGATCTCTTCTCTATTCACTGTTCTTCTCTGTTCGCCTGCGTTAATTAGAAAATGGTAAGGGTCATGGGAAAAAAAATTGGGAAGAAACAGGTTGGAAAGAATTAGATTGTAGTAATTTGGGTAATGGTCCAAATTAATTACTCTCTCCCTTCACTCAAATGGTCTCATTTATCTTTTGTACAATGTACTATAATTTTTTTTACAAATGTCATTATAATAGTATTATAAAATACTAATATAAGTATTTTTGTCTATTTTCGTAATTATACTATATTTTCATATAATAATTAATATTTAAATATCAAGACGCAAAAAATAAATGAACTTTAGACCTGGCGGGAGATAATATATTATTAACACCATTAATTTAATTTTTTTGTAAATATAATATAAAACTAATTTATTTACTTAAATTGTTAGTATAATTACAATAATTATGCAAATTATAAAATGCAATATTTATAGTCGTATATGTATATGTGCTAATCAAATTGAAATATTATTTATTTAATTTTTTTTGTTATAAATTAGTATAATATATTTTTCTCTAGTATTATATATTTTAAAATTAATTATATTTGTAATTTGATATATTTTAATTGTTCATTATAATTTTGTAATAAATACAAATTTTTATATATAAAAAATCATATAGGCGGATATTTGATCGATAACGCCGATACACCGCGATGTATCTGGAACGGTAAAGACCGATCTGCATCGAAGAATTATGCGTGATGTTGGATTAAAAATCCAATTGTGGGTTAAATGTAACTATTTGGGCTATCAGTCAAATTAAGCCTATATTAAGTGATCTATAAATTTATTGGGCTTAAATGTATTTAGTAAGTGCGACCTCCAATGTGCAGAAACCCGGTAAATTATTAATTGAGTGATGAAGTCAATTAATAATAAGGGATATAAATAGGGTTGTGATCCCAGGTCTAGACGCAACAACCATTACGTTCCATATCTCATCATGGGAGTAACGGCATAAACCCTAACGGTTTTCTCAAGAGGGGTTGCGCCATAAGCTTGAAGAACACAAAACCCTCAATTGTTAGCGGATCCGAATTTGACTATGCTAATGGAATAAAGGTCAGATTTATTTTGCTTTATTTTTAACTTAATTATAATAACACGGTAGATCCTGGACTTATGGTTAAATTCCTGACAAGTTCCAACAATTCAATTGGTATCAGAGCCATTACATGTTAAATTATTGGGATATATATATATATATATATATTATTTATTGGATCATATCGGAGGATTAAAATCTATTTTAAAGGCCGTTAATTGCATTTTTTTATTTGTCTTGTGTGTATGCAAGATTAAGCCGCTGTGGTCGTCTGTATAATGTATAAATAAATTAATAGTGTAATTTTAATTTTTTTTTTTTGGATTGAGGATCTGTGCATAGTGATATGTGAATGAAAACATTATATATAAATATGCATATTTATATATCTCTGTGTGTTGATCAATTAATTAGTCGGATTATTTATGCATGGATATTCGGGTGTACTCACTTGATTAAACTGATTATTTGATCAAATTGGCCATTAAATTTTAATTGAAATCACAAAATTAAATCTGCATCAATTCTTTTATTATGAATGTGATTGCATGTTCAACGGATTCTTGATATATTAATTAAATAAATTGATTGCTTAATTGAGATTAGTCTTGATTGAAGTTTAACTTGATTTTGGTATGCAATCGGATGGATATT